TTTTTCGATAGATAGTCTCATTCATCATAAATAAAAAACATACAACATTTTGAATACAACCCAAAAAGACTCCTAAGCTGAAACAAAAGAGAACCACTTACTGGTGGGCTAAAATACAAATAAATCCACTAGAAACTCAAGCAGCTAATAATGTAACTGAAACTCGAGCTCCTAACTCAATAACATAAGAATAATATAAATAAACAACAACTAGAATTTCACTGATCCATAAGACCCTAGACCATCCAGCTACTGTCTTCTCACCTCCTGTTATATCTGTCGGTTGACCTCCCTAAACTCCCTCCATTCTTTAACTGCGGTTTCTACTGTGAAGGGGGTCGACCTTTGTTGGTTTTAAAAAACCCAATGATTTCTACACTTCCAAGCCACCATAAAATATATGTAAAGACTTAGATACGGGCTTCAGAAGTCTCATTTTGCTTAGCCCAGAGATGTGCCACCACCAGTCTTTAAAAGTGTCAAACTCTTTTGGTCCTTCCCAACTGACTGCAGCCATTCTCCATACCAGCTTTGCATTGGGGCAAGTCAATAGAGCATGCTTCACTGTTTCCTCAGCCAGTCCACACACTTTGCAAATAGGATCAACATCCATACCTCTCTTTCTTAGGTTTACTCCCACGGGTAAGATACCATTGACACACTTCCACAAGAAGTGTTTAATCTTACCTTTAATTTTTAATTTCCAAAATCTGTTTCTGGCCCTCTAATCCTTACTAAAAGTAGAGCTGCTTTGTGCTTTATCCATCCCAAGGAGATTCTGTTTAATGAGAAGGTTATATGTGTTAGATACAGAAAATTTACCTTTTTTATCTTGGTTCCAAATCCATTAATCCTCCTCCTCAGGATTGAGTGTGCTTATTTTCAAGATGGCAGTGCAGTCTTCATCAGAGAATTTTCCTTGAGAATATGTTCATCCCAGTTTCTTCCATCATGTGTGAGAAGCTGACTGACCCAAATTAAATTACCACATTCCCCTGGTTTAAATCTCAGTCTGTTACCTGAGATATTTGGCACCCAAAAATTCTCCAGAATTCTTGTCTTCTTCCCATTATGAATAACAGACTACATCCATTTCCCACATTTATCTCAAACTTTCAGCCATGAGTTCCAGAGCCATGACACATTCTCTCCTTGATGCTGCAAAAATAAATGAGTCATGGTAGTACCTTGATTTAATTATTCTACTTACCAGAACCTGGGGTTGGGTAAGGAGTCTCCAAATCTTTTTTGATAAGAGAGATTCATTAAATAGTTAAATATCTTGGAAGCCAAGACCACCATGAGGTTTTGGAAGAGTCATTGGTCCCAGGCTTTCAAGTGTATCCCTCTCCGCATATTATCTCCCTTGCTCCACCAGAATTCTGCACAAATACCAGTTATCTCCTTGCACAGGCCTACATGAAGTAAAAAGCATGACATTTATCACAATTTTAATTAGTACTTCCTTACCTGCTGAGGAGAGCCATTTATTTTTCCAACTCAGGATTCTGCTTTTAACAACTGATATAACATAACTGAAAGCATCTTTTTTTGATATACCAATACCTAGTGGAAGGCCCAAATATCTGGATGAGAATTGCAGTTTAATGCCATAAGAGCTTGGCAGCACTGCTCTTGGACCTCTAAGGGAGTATTCTTGTTGAAGAATATTGATGATTTCTCTAAATTGACCAGTTGTCCTGTAAAATGGTTGTAGTCTTGCAGTATTTTTGGAGAAGCTTATGAGCTTGAAAGAGTTCAACTTTACAGAAAATTAGAAGATCATCTGCAAATAAAAGATAAGTAAGCTCTGGTCCATCTCTTGCAATCATTAACCCTTTGAAACCACCTCGCGTAGACTCTGAGATCAATCTAGCAGACAACAACTTAGATACCAAAATAAATAAATAAGGGGACAGTGGATCCCCCTGTCTCACACTTCTTGAGGCTGCTGTAAATCCATAATGTTTTCTATGTAAATTGAAATAGAATGTGGGTGCTGTGATCCATGCCATGATCCATTTAACAAAAGTTGGGTGAAAACCAATTTTTAACATGGTTAATTGGATACTTTTCCACTCTAGCCTGTAAAAAGCCTTAACCATGTCAAGTTTTAGTGCCATAAAATATTTTTTGCCACTTATATGTCTATTGAGGAAGTGCAGAGCTTCATGTGCTATAACCACATTGTCTAGTAGCTGTCTGCCAGGCAGAAAGGCTGACTGATTTTTAGATATGCAGTTTGGCAAGCAATACCTTAATCTTGAAGCAAGGATTTTAGATATTATCTTATAAAATACAGCACATAGGCTTATATGCCTGAATTGAGAGATTGATGTAGGGTTTTCACATTTTGGAATGAGTGCAACAAGAGTATGTTTCCAATACCTGAGCATTTGTCCTGATGTGAAGAAACTCTGAACTGTTGCACAAATATCTTCTTTTACTATTGGCCAAAAGTGCTGGTAGAAGAGTGCTGACATGCCATCCTCCCCTGGGGCTTTGTGAGGATTCATACTGAATAGGGCTTTCCTCTCATCCTCAAGTACTGGAGAAATCAGTTCTGCGTTCATACTTTCAGAGATGCTGTTTGGAATGAGTTGCAGCATAGTCTGACCATGAGTAGAGCCTTGAGATGTGTAGAGATTTGAGTAGTATCACTGATTATTCTTTCAATCTCTTTCTGGTCTTCACAGAGGACATTATTTTCATTCAGCAGTCTTTCAATTGTATTGATTTTCCTTCTTTGGCGGGTGTAGGCATGGAAGAACTTTGTGTTCTTGTCCCCCTCCTTGAGCCAAAGGATCCTTGCCTTTTGTTGCCAATAAATCTCCTCAAATCAATGTGCTTCCTCCAGCTCTTTTTTTAGCTTGCCCCATTCAGCCCAGTTCCTCTCCCCTCCTTCTTTCCTTATTTGTTCAAGTGTCAATGTCAATGAGGATATTTTTTATTCTTACTTTGTTCTCTGAAGTGCTTGCTCCACATTAGAAGGGTTGCTCTTGCTTTTTTGATCTTCTCTTTAACAATATACATAGGGGTACCAGTGCAGTTAGAGTTCCAAGCTTCTTATACCACCTTCTGCAAACCTTCTGGTTTTAGCCATCTTCTATCAAACTGAAATCTCTTTCCTTTGAATTGAGTTTGTTGCTTAGATTTGAGAATAAGCATATGATGGCCTGAAGCACTCCTATATTGGCTGACTGTATGAGCATTAGGATAGGAGACTAACCATTCAAGTGAAGCAAATGCCCTGTCTCTTCCACAAATCCTTCTCCTTCTCTGTTATTGCCCCAGGTGAAGTGATAGCCTGAATTATTGACTTCTTGCATTCCCATTTCAGATACAAATGTTCTGAACCCATTGAAACTGTTTGCTGCTCTTGGTCTGCCACCATTTTTATATGAAATTTGAAAGAGGTCATTCCAGTCCCCTGCTATGCACCAACTTTCACCCCACTCCTCTTTTTCAACAAGTAGAATGGCCCATTGTGTTTCTCTTTCTTGCTTCAGAGAGCTGAGATAAACAAAAATAAACCAGACAATAGAGCTACCAGAACTGGGTATATAATTGACAGCAAGAAAGAAAAAATGTACACTTGAACAATTTGAGTTTTATCATCCCACAAAAGCAAAAGACCTCCACTGCAGCCTCTAGGATCCATAATGTAGTTTCTAGTGCCAAAGCCCATCATTTTACAAACGGAAAGGGTGAATATTTGAGATTTTTTAACTTCAAGTATGAAAATAAAATTAGGGTGATGGCATCTGATTGCCTCCTTTAACTTGGAAACTGTAGAAGGCCCACCCAAACCTCTACAATTCCACAACAAGGCATTCATTTGTACTCTGAGGGCCCATTAGGGTTGGCTGATTGGTTGGAAAAAGTGTGTATTTTATATATTTATTAGCGTATTTTTATATGCTAAATTTTATCGCACTTATATTTTTTTTCTACTTAATTATTATTTGGATGAATTCATGTGTTTTGATATTTTTATGCTTAATATTCAATGTGCTGGGACATATTTTATGCCCGTCTTATTACTTATAAATGTTGGATTATATAAGTGGCCTAGTTTGGATTTTTGGTTGTTGGGACATGTTTTATTATGGCTGATGGCTTTTAATTGAAATAAAAAAAAAATTATTCTTGTAGGGAGATATTGGAGGCAAGAGAAAATTAATTTGATCAAGATTTAATTACCATCAAAGGGTGATACAATTGGAGTGCTGAAGAGTCTTTGGAGAGAACAATTACTTGAGGAGGATTTATTAAAAAAAAAAAAAAAGAAAGAAAAAGACTCCACATACCCACGCAGCATACATATATTTTGGGAGCTGCCAAACACATACGCGAAGAGCAGAGAGGAAAAAAGAGCCGCCACGCAATAGGGACAAAGGAAATAAAAGAAGAGCAGCGGACATAGTAAACAGAAAAAGGAACCCGATCAATGGCGGAGGGAGGCCGCACCCGCACACGAGGGAGATAATTAA